GGGTTTTTTTTGTCTTTAATCCATAATCATCAAAATTGAAACAAATAAAGGCTTGAAATATTTCACTTTGTGTGTAGTGAACTAATATAACATACAAGTTTCACTTTTTGAAACAAATTATTGAAATAAATGGACTTTCCCTCGATATTCTAATTTTTTGGCACATACCTGTAGTGCATGCTGTGCAAAACACATTCAGACATCAAGTTGTCACATATTTACAGAGTAATACCTCAGAAATGTAGATATTCTATGTTACCTTGGATGGGCAGCATGTCCGAGCGCTGCAGGCTGTTCCTGCGAGACGAGGGGAAACCGCTCCCCTTGGACAGACGGCGCTGTCGACTGGACAGCATAGCAGCAGGAGAGACGATGCCTGGAGGGGGAACCTTTCCCATCCTCTCATACAGCTCCTCAATCTCTCTCTTCTGGGCAGCCTGCAGGGCCTGAGCCTCTGTCACATGTCTGAAAAGAGACAGCAAATGTGAGTGTGTAGAGGCTCCTTCTTTGTGCTTAGAAAAAAACTCCAACGGCGTGCTGTAGCCCTTGAAGGCTTGATTTTACTCAAATATAAAATTTTAATTATACCATCAAAATTCTCAATCAAATGCAAACTAATCATTAACACTCAGAAAATGACAATAAAATTCATAATAATTTTAAATAACTGATTAATCATTTTAAGTTATTTATCAAGCAAAACCTTCAAACATTGTCTGCTCATTGCTCTTCATGTTCCTTCCTACTCCGTATTCATATTCAGTCTCACCCAGTTCACTGCCTCGTCATTTTCTGATGAAACCACTGTTGCCACCTTTTCACTTTTATAATCAGGCTTGTGCTCCTTTTTCTGCATATAGCACCTATTCAGTGCAGAGCATCTTCACTGGTGTCACTTACTTCTCTCGGAGTTCCTGAAGCTCCTCCAGCATTTCTTCATTGTCACTGTCTGAGTCATCGGTGCTTATGCATGGAGCGTTTCGGCTGCAAGTCATCATCCATAAATGTTGAAGGGCATTGCTGTACTGCGGGCTGCCCGCCATGCCATCCCACAGCCTCCCCTCGACCTCCGCAGCCATTACTGAGAGTCCGCTGTCCGCAGGTGTTCCCATCAGGCTGAGGCTGTACGCCCTCCTCCGGTTCCTCTTCCTCGACCGCTGCCGTTCCCCTCCAACCTCTTCCTTTTCTTCTTCCTCCTCTTTCTTTCTGTCCTGCTGCTGCTGCTGGCTCCTAGCCCATCCTGGCTGCCCGTCAAGCCCTGACGTGTCTCTGTGGGGATGTGGGTGAGGTGCGGACATGGTGAGGGAGGTGCCCAGGCTGGTCTCAGTCTGTTCCTCGGTGCTGCTCTCTGTCGGGGTGCTGCCACTGTGTGCAGGCTGTGGTGCAGTAGGTAGACTACATACTGGTTCAGCTGATGCAGGGACATCCATGCTGGGCGTCACCTGGAATCGCCCAACAGTCACTGATGCTGACTGGGCCTCTGTAACACAGAGTTACAAAGTTTATGTTAATTAGTGTAAACACTATTATGTAGCATCTTAGTCCTCTGCACATCTCCTGCAGGCATTTGTAAAAGTATGTGTACCTTGACTGGTTTTCTTCAAGGTAAAAATGTATGAAAATTACTTTAATATCTAAATGTATGTTTTCTAAAAGAAAGTGTTATATTGGTTAACACAATTAAATTTGTATTTTATTTGTATAGCACCAAATCACAACAAAAGTCATCTCAGTACACTTTACAAAGTAAGGTCTACACCTCATTATCATTATTATTAAACAATAATGCAGTAATTTGTGGTGTCTCCCTTTACCTACTTTTAGTGACCATGAATAAAAAGCAGTAACATCTGGCCAACCAGTTTAATTGAGTGACAGCCGGTCACAGCAGCGACCGTGCTATAATATCATCAGACTGATTGTTAGAACAAAGCCCCACTCAATACGGACTGTGAGGTTTGATTAAAACCTAATCGTGTGTTTCTTGGCAACAGTCGTAAAGAGATATCACTCTGTTTTGGTGACTTAGTAATCTCCCAGTAGTGGATCTCCTCTAAACAGCAATGATAACTGAATTGTGAAGGAGTTGCATTTGGCGTGTCACATTCAAACGGAGTGACACAAACAGTTTGCATGCACTCACATCTGCTGACAATTTTAGTGTTAAAAATCCTGCAGTGCCTCAGTTTGCCCGGTAAGTGTCCTTATTACAGTAAACAGACATTGTCAGGGTCTGTGGCCAATGAAACAGAGGGACTCTGTTGAATGAGGAGGGTATAAATACTGACAGCTGTGGACTCGGAAGGCGAGGCTTGTAATGAGCGCAGCTGCTCGCTGATTGGTCAGTGCCAGGGGGTAGAGCCATAATCACAACTCCGTTTGTGTTCATATTGAATGGAACATTACATCCAGAGCTGCGGTTATGCAACAGCTCCAGAGGCACCACTAGCAGGTGATAATGACGACAAGGATACAACTGAAAACAACTCAAATTGTCCGTAACAGAGACATCAGACTGTATTTAAGCCAAATATATCATGAAATGGAACAGATGTTTGTCTAGGGTGCAAACACAAACAACACACATAGGATGTCACTGTCCAGCTCTCGCAGGCTCTGGCTAGTTACTTGCATCACATTAGGGGTTTATGGTTGAAAGACAGGAGAAAAGCAGTTTTAGGAACATGAGAACATGCACGGATTTCTTACCTGACTTAGGAAAAGAGTCTTTTGGCTGTGGGCTACTGGGGTTCATCTCAGGTACAGCAGGGTGCAACTGAGTGCTGAGGGATGATAACTACACAGGGAACACAAATATTATTAGCATTAGTGCTACAGCAGATTGGGTACAGGCCAGATGAGGCTGATCCACATTAAAAACTGTTTTTTTGTCAATATCTTCCTGAAATTCAGTCCTCCAGCTGTCAGTCACAGTGGGCCACCAACTCAGTTTTTGGCACAGAGATACCTGGCTTACGTAACATGATCCTACTGAATTCCACTCAATGTAATACACAAATGTAAAGTAGGGAAAAACGGACCACTCGTATTGGTAATCTGTATCAGCAGATATCAGAAGTAGATGTATTATAATTATATTGGAAGAGAAAATGTTGAATTGGTCCAATTTTTCAGACCCCAAACCCTAAAGATTTCTTTAGAGAGACAATAGGCAAGAGCTTCACATCTATGAAACTGGAACCTGTAAATATTAACTCTTGTTGCCTAATAAATGACTTAATCTATTTTCCACAATTGTTAATTTTCCTGTTGATGGCATACCTGATTGGCCAACTAATAATTTCAGCACTAACTTGCATTGATGCAACATTGTTTTAAAGGACTACAGACAGATATAATCCCAGAGATAAAAGTCATGACTCACTTTGCTTTTTGGGCTCTCTGGGGGCAACAGGGAACAACCTGAAGAAACTGAACTAGAGGCTTCTGATTTGGGTTCAACTTGGGCTGGAACCTGTACTGAGTATGGGGCCATATGACTGTGGAGGTTGTTCTGCAGGGTTCGGCAGGGGGGACTGGAGAGTCCAGCTTGCTGCAGAGGCTCCTGAGCAGCCAGTGGAGAAGTGCAAGGCATGGAAGGCCGCGAGACAGGATGTGGCCAGCTTGGATGACTGCTCAGAGGAAAACCAGCTCCATCCATTGGAGGTGCACTCTGAGGGCTGTGGAAGACGTTCTGTGCTGGGATGCCAGGAGTGGGGTAAGAGAACTCTGCTGGTGGGGTTTGGTAATGTTGTGGGTAGATGAAGGGGTAACCTGTTTGTGGGGTCATCGGAGTGGGTAACTGGGGGTGGAAGCCTGGAAAGGAGAGCATCCCCTGTGTAGGAAGGCTCGCAGGAGGGATGAACGACTGGGCCATGTTCATGGCCATGGTGATGACATTAGCCAATGAAAACAGGGGCTGCGTGTGAGGGGGCCACATGTTGGGATGCTGAGGGGCAGGTGGGGACAGAGTGATGCTCTCAGGGCTGCAAGGGCTTGAGGTGTCATACTGAGAACTTGGAGAATCAGGGCCTGGGGAGGGAACAGAAGGGAAGGTGGGGTTACTGGCCACACGTGTGAGGGGAGGATGGATCCCCACTGGCTTGGGCCCCGGAGAGCCTGGGTATGGGAATGGAAAGTGAGAATGGCCCATGAAGGGCAACTGGTAGTGCTGGTGGTGGGGTAGGAGTGATGCAGGGTGGTGATGGTGCTGATAATGGATGGGAGACCCTGGAAGACAAAAAGATTACAACAGATGTAATTAGTGGTTTAAAGTTAGAGTTAGTTGATTAGTTAGTTTCCTAACTTCCCTTTTTGTGCATCAAACCTGAAAGAGAGAGAGAGAGAGAGAAGTTACTCTTCCTCTCTTCTCAGAGGTCTATCAGTCCATTTCCTCCTCCAGCCCCCTGCCAAAACATATGCCATGTGGAGCATAAATCTTTCCCACACCTCCAAATAATGGATTTCCATTGTGAACAAAAAACATTAACATTAAAAAGCTGAAGCTGCTGCACACCAGGCTTGTGAAGGAATCAACACCATCTGGGCAAGTGAGGCTTTTACATACAGAACGACACTTTAGGGCTTTTAAATGAAACCCTCATGTGTATACACAACTCAGGTCTGACTGTGAGATTAAAGTAGTTTAAGATTTCCATATTACTGCTTGGGGAATAGTTTAGGATGCCAATATCTGAGAACCAACCACTGATTTGACACTTACCTCAACAATAGCCCCACAGTTATAAACCACACCTCCTGTCACTGATGATTCAGAGCAGCCTCAACTTTTTCCATGCTGATGGAAACATAGGTTAGGCAACACTCTGCAGCAGTGGTAGGTGGCCATGGTGCATTGCGAAAGCGTTGTGTAGTGTATGTACAGCAGTGGGGGGGGGACAGAACAAGATGGCCGCTGAAGCTGAAACTGGGCATATGGCTTATGTGCTCTTTAACTGACTTCAAATACCCCCCATGGGGAAGGAGACTTTGATGGGAGAGGAGGCGTTCTTGGAAACTGTGTAACAGTTGGTGCTGGCAAACAGATGTTGCCGACTATCACAGTGCTGCAGAAAAGCTGATGCTTTACAGCAACGGCATTCACAGCCCCTAAAAGCCAGAAAGTGTCCATCAGGTGAGGTAATTACCCAAGAGGCCCTGCCACAAGGCAGGCACAGATGAAGGCTTTGAGATGTGGGAACGGCGGATGGCGCCATGCGAATGCCAGAACAATACCAAAAACTGGCCCTGAGTAGGGAAGGGGTTATGAGCTCACTGAGCTTTGCTTTGATGCATTTTGTGCCAAGGGGCTGTAACAATTTTTCAGTGTGCTGAAACAGTAAACAATGCTCGGCCTTTTCACGTGTGGACCAGAAGGAGGGGTGGAGGGCCATTTACCTGGGGCACTGTGGAAAGACTGAGTGTAATAGAGGTTGCCCAGGTGAAGTAATGTCTGCACTGAAGATGTTCTCCATTAGAGCACGGAGGAGAGTCACGTACTCCTACAGTGGGGTTAGCCACACTGAAGTCTAAGACCAGACACATACATGCATGAGTACACACCCATGCACATGTCCACACACACACGCACACAATGATCATGGACTGTAAACAAGACGCAATACACAGATGCAAGTCAATCTGACACACTGTGAGCCTTTATGCAATTCACACACACACACACACACACACACACACACACACTTAATGCTTCTTAGTGAATTTTATACTTTCATAAAAAAAAAAAAAAAAAGAGAAGGCAACATCCTAAGAGCTTCACTGACTTCCAGATTCATATCAGTTTAATCTCCTCAACCACCAAATTATTCACTTTCCGCTCAATGAGTAAATTAAATTCATCAGAACACGAGACTCACCAGGCAGGGAAGAGGACGAGTGTGTTCGAGGCAGGGTGTGGCTGTGCAGATCAGGCTGTAAAAGAACACATTTGGTAAAACTCAGTCTCCACTTCGATTCACTATTGACAAAACAGTGACGTTCTACTATGCTGAAGACTTTGTGTAACTCTGGTTTGATCACCAGCACTACTACGTAGGTGGGTAGAAGCAGCACTGGAGGGTACTGAGGTCATAGTAATGAATTCTTGTTTGATTTTGTTTGCCATATTATTGAAGGAATGGCAAAGAAAATCTTTCAGTCGCTCAACCAGTCCACCACTTTGGTCCAGGCTGACATAAGTCATTTAGATGGATTGCCATGAAATTTTGTCCAAACATTCATGGTTCCCAGAGGATAAATCATAATAACTATGGCAATCCCCTGGTTTCTTCTCTACAGTCACAAGCAGGCTGAGATTGTACTTCTCCTGTGAAATGTCTCATCTACTGATCCACTGACTTTCCTTAGAGCACCGAAATTAACTTCATTAATAAAATTAACTAGTGTCATCATCAGGTCTAATGTTTAATTTGTCCAGTATAGAGTAAATACTTAAGTTCAGGCTCACAGAGCTGCAAGCATGACTGTACAGTTTTAATCTTGCTCTGAAAGTCTTTCTCTTCAACTACCATGTAGAAGAAACTATCGACTGCTAGGCAACCATGGCTTTCCAATGACTGGACAGCCAGACCAGAGACCGAGAGATGAGTCTCTGGACTTGTTGGTTTCTTCCTGACTAAACTAGCTCGGTCTGGTTTCTTGGCTGGACATGTGGTCAGTGCAGTGTTTTAATCCGGTGCTGGAGTGAAGCCAGCAGAGATCTGTCCACGGTGGTTGAGGGAAATTATGAAACATGGTGAACAAGGTAAATATTTAGCGGTAGACATTTACTGCTCCTACTTGTCTCTTGTTATACACAGAGACCCCCCCCCATGAATTTTTCCATCATTTATTAATATCTTTGATTATTTTCACTAGAAGTCACAAAGAGATTTTGTTCTTTGTGTTCAACAACCTGAAAAGAGATCCTGGCATGACACACATTTTCCTCAAGCAGACAAATGAGGCACTGGTCATATTTTGCACAAGATGTTTTTTCCTGGACCTTGTTATTCCTGGATTCCTAGAGATGCTTAATAATCCAAACATAAATCATTTTATCCATTCAATGTAGGCAGATATGCTGGAAAGTTCATTATGATTTAGGAACTGGAAGGGATTTGTTAACGTGGAACAAATAAATGGTTCCACAAATTACTGGGGTTTATAACATTAATCCTTAGTCCTAATACCATTGTGCTCTAAATGAAAATGCTGCCTCAGGTGGCTTTAAGACATTTAGCCTTCCATCTCTGAGGCCACGTCTCAGGAGGGGCTGTGTACAGTGAGGAAAGCACTACTCCACGGGTTTCCATTTGCACCTGATTCACAGGTCTGCCTTAGATAAACACGCGCACGTGATGTCATTCCTGATGATCAGACAGCAGAGTAAAATACGCGCTCAGTTACTGCTCCTGCTTTGTTCTCCGCTAACAATGCTGTGATGTGGATTAGTGCTGCTGACCTGTGATGAAGACAGTGAGTTGACCGTGCTGTTGAAAGCGTGCTGGGGCAGGCGGTGGTTGTTGGAGTGGGCTGGCTCGTCTTTGGCCATCAGACCTTTGGCCCGTTTGATGATGTCGCCCATGCGGTGGATAAAGCCCTCCTTCTCTGATGGCAGGATGAACTCATTGTGCACCTTGGAGACAAAGGGACAGTGGAGGAGTTATTCAGTTACTTGTTTAAAAGAGTTACTAATAATTAGCTCTTAAATAAATAAAGTGGAGTAAAAAGTACAATATTTGACACCAAAATGTTGTGGAGTCAAAGTATAAACTTGCAGAAAACTTGTGTAGATGTATTTAGTTTCTCTCCAAGTCTGTGAAAGGAGAATACAGACATGCTTGTAAGTATACTAGATATATTTGTTGTCTACTTCTGTGCCCATCTATGAAATCACACCCACCTACTCTCAGCTAATTCACTCTTTGGAAAAAATACATAAATCCACAACAGTGTGTTAAGAGGTTTTGAGTTTTGTACATTTGTGCACTTTTAAGCGTTGAGTACTGTGAATTGTGGGCTGGGGCGTGAGGACCATTTCCTGTCAGTATGGCATAATTCAGCTCATTTAAAGTCTGTACTGAGAACCACAAGGGCTGCAGCGATGCCAAGAGCCCCTGCTGAGCCAAGACTCTGTAAACAAAAGCCCACTGTGTTTTAAGAGTCAGGACAACAGTACATTCAGTGAACAAAAAGTGCTGCTGCACACACTGTCTCCTCATGCCTTCCTTACACCCACAGCCAGCCTCTAATGAAGCTTAAAGACAACACAGGGGGATGGGGCTGCTTACCTGCGTCACTAACTTCTGAGTAAGTTAGATATAATATCAAGCAGAGTTAGGATTGACAAACAAAAGGCCGTTAGCTGGAAGCATTAGTTAAGATAGAGGAATCTGTCAGACTTATCAGCTGACACTGTTCGTACAAATACTGGAAGGTTCTACACTGTCTGACAGTCTCATATATGCTCTGCATCGGTGTCTCATACTAGCTATGTGATGTTTACAGTCCGTGAAATATTCAAACTCAAGTCTTCATATTTTTATGTTTGCACCTTTCAACTGACTGAAATATTCTAGATGTTTTCCTGTGTGTGTGTGTGTGTGAGTGCAAACAGTTTAACTTCCTATTTCAACATCTCTTTATTTTACTAGTGTAGCCAAATAGATCATTTCTATTATACTAATTTGGAAGTAACTTATTTCTTATTGTTATTTCCCACTTACAGCCAAAAAAGGTAGCTATTTCAGATCAGAATAATCACCTAAATCTGCCTGGTCAATACATTTCACAGCTAAAGTAAATAACTGGGAATAGAATAAAAGCCTTCATTCTTTAAACTTGATCAAAGTGTTTTATTATTGACTGACTATTACACTCGTTGTTGCTTGACCAGTGATGGCACATTATGTTATGACTCACCATGACGGCAGCAATATCGTCCGGGTTATCTCCATCCAGGTCAAACTTGAATGTCACCATCTTGTTGTTGTGTGTCTGCAGCTGACACTCCACTACCCGGTCCACATTATCAGAGAGCTGCAGAGAGGGACAGGGTCAGTGATAGTGATTGGCGCCTGTTTACCCTCAGCAAAGTTAAACACTACAGGAAGCAGATGTTTTTGTATACGTGTGTGTTGCCACATGAACATATTTGTGAATGTATTATAACATGCAGTGTGTTAGTGTGTATGCACGTGGTAATTCATGATCTGTTTATCTATGCCTTCAGTCCAAATATGTTCATTAAAAGATCACAGATCAGAAGAGCAATGTACTACAGCTGCACAGCTACTGATAATGTTCCATAATCAGAATGGAGCCTCATAAATAAATGACTCCACTTATTCAATTCACTCCAGCTGGTTGATTTATTTGTTTATAACATGCTCAAATGCAATTGTTGTCATTAAACTTTTGTTTATTGTACCCCTGTGATGCGCAGACGTGAGCGCGCCCTCCGCTTGAACAGCTTTGCAGCAGTTCGCCTTGCAGCCGTTCTCTCGCTCTTCTCTGACAGGCCCTCGTAGCCGTCACTCAAGCCTGAAGCTACATCAGAGGCATAGCTGCAAAAAAGCAAATTATAAATTGTTAGAAACTACGCTGCAAAAAGCCACTGAAACATTCCTCATATAGCAATGGCTGCTTATCATCACACAGTACTCAGCAGTATTCTGAAGTGTTAAAGACTTGATGTGCCTCTTGGGTGGAAACAGTTCAGCTGAACAACACAGTTTAATGAGTCTATAGGAAGCTGGTGTTCAACCAAAGGAAGTAATGTGTCTATGTGATCTGTTCTCTATGTACAATAAATAAGATTTAGGTTTCTGAGAACTGGAGAACACTCGGTGCAGTTTATAAAAAGTTTAGGCTCGGCTATTTGCGTCTCCTGGGCCTATTTGGGTTGCTGTGGTCACAGGCTGCCCTCTGTTCGCCTCTACAGCACAAGCCGCCAACATTTACAGGCCTAGTGGTTGGCACCATTCTCTCGTATCTATTTAAAAACCTCCACCTCCTGAGTAACTTCAGTTCAAACCAAACTCTGCTCACCTTTAAACACCAAATACATGGAAATAATAATAAAAAAAAAAAATAATAATAATACTGACCATTTGTGTTGATGTTACAGATTATCCTTTTGTTTTGTGATCTTTGAAAGAAATTCTTCTCATCAGTAATCCAGGGGTTTTTCCACAGAAGTCTTATGCAATGGGGAGTATGTCTTGGATCCTAAGTAGGGCACACCTAAGCTGTTACGAAACACTGTACTAGATGACATGTGTTTCAACATACCATGGACAAGTCAAAGTGTCGATCATGGTGGATGAACTACAGGAGATCAGTGAACCTACTGTATTTAAGCATACAGCTTGATTTTGTCAATAGATTAATCATATAAGTCCAGATGTTCTGCTTGTCTTTATTTTATAAGGATAATCAAGATAATCACCTTTATTGGCCAAGTATGTTACACACAAGGAATTTGTTTCTGGTACAGAACCGATAGCAGCCACCTGCGGCGCCACCTCAACTGATGGCTCTGACCATCGGGGGCAACGGGGGGGTTCGGTGTCTTGCCCAAGGACACTTCGACACGTGGACTGCAGGCACCGATATCGTTGTAAACTAACTTTGGGTTCTGCAGCCTTAGTAGGTATCACATCTGTGCATGGCAACTTATCTACTTATGACACATGACTGTGTCTGAACAGAAGATGGAGCCCAGGTGAAAACCCCTCAGTGCACAAACACAATCTACTCATCCACAACTGGCTTTCATGCCAAGAATAAAGCCGCTCACTCCCTAAAGTGCAGCCAACATTGAAACCAGGGCCTCCAGAGTATACTGAGACTGTCACACAGAAACCTGTAACGGCCCATTCACCCAGAAGCCTGTCGCCTGTTGTTGTTGTCACAGCCCCGCAGATGTCGAGGAGGAGGAGAAGCAGAGGGAAGACCAGACATTGATTTTCAAGTCTTACATAAATAAGGGATTATTGACCGCCGTTGTTCATCAGATGACAGGAAAAAGATCAGACCAAAGAGCAAAGAAGGCTGAAGAGCTTTACCTGTCCACGGGGGAGTTGAAGCCACTTGGGGACCCTGAGTTGCTACGTTCAATGTTGTTGGATACGGCAATACTCTATCAACAGAAAAGAGGAATTTGGTAAGGTAAACATGGACACAGACTTTCATTGACTTTTTCTTTTGAACCTTTATTACTCATTTAAAGACAGAGGTCAGGAAACATTTTCAACATACTGAATCTTAAGAGCATAAATAACTGATTTACTTCAAACCATCTCAACACAAAATGTCTCATTTATCTTAATGTGGAATTACTTGTGTATTAATTAACCATCAAATTTAATACAAATGAGGCACATGTATGGTCTAGGTTTTTAACCATGTTACTGGTGAAGGTACACATTACACCTGCAACCAGGAGGGTGTTAGCATTGGGTATGTTAGCATGAAATTACAACTAGAAAGTCTGTACCCACAGAGCTGTAAAATTAAATGCATGCCTACTTAAATGCTTAATTTGATTTCTGAGTAGGAAAATCATAATAATCTATAAACTGGTGACAAATAATAAGCTACACAAAATTCTGGGTAGTTTACATTTTGCTGATGAGACGGCTCAGAAGTTTTCACTATATTTCTTGATACAGAAACGTTCAAGAAACATTTATTAGCTTTTTCTTAATTGGTAATTAACAAGGATTCTTCTGTGTACCTTATTGTAAAGTGTTACTTCCTAGTTACATATTGTTTGCATAACTCTGTCGCCACCATATCAGACAGAATAATGCTGATGAAGGAGGTGTTGTAAAGTCACAACCCTCTTTGATAACAACGTCTTTATTGAGGCCACTCACTGAGGGGAAGCAGAGTGCGGGGACGGGGGAACTGCTTTTAGTCGTGGCAGGAGGCGTTGCTGGCATGTTGAAGCTGCCGGCCTCCAGCGGGTCGTGAAGCCCAGAGGAGCTCAGATAGCCATCCATCTCGCAGTCAGCTGTTTCAACAAAGGACATCAGCTATTAGTATGTGACCTTAGCACACACACACACACAAACAATAAATACTTGGAGGATTAGCGCTGTTCTGAAGACACACATTAGATGTATTCAGATTATATCAAACTCATCAAATTGGACCTCAAAAACAGAAAACAGAGAAATATTCCACAACCACCACAACAACAGCACACACACATGCAAACACAATGAAATAAGGCTTCTGGGGACTGAATAATTTAGTTTAACCACAGTTTCACATTTCACTGTACGCCCCCCACGTGCTCTGACATATGAGAGGCTTTCTGTTCAGTGTAACTGTGCAGCTCATGCAGTGAGAAGCAGTTAGTTAGCGTTAGTGACAAAACCCAAACGTGTGACTGAAACATGAGCTACATCTGCTCAGGTGCTGTACATTTAAGTACAATTCTGAGACACTTTACTTGACTGTTTTATTTCTATATTAATTTCAACCTCGACTCCACTACATTTGAGAAAGGAATCTTTTACGTCATTACATTTAGTCTGTATATCTGATATTTCAGTTTCTTTCAAAACATGTGACTGACTTAATAAATATAAACTAGAGTATGATGTAACAGTATATCTTAAATTAGATCCACCTTGACCATTCCAATATTAATATGCTGCTTATATGTGAATACATCTCTAATAACCCCATAATATATGTTCTGATTAATGAGTACTTTTACTTTTGATACTTGAACATTTTGCTGATAATACTTCTGTACTTTTACCTTTTTCTACTCTGGTACTGCTATTTTTATTTAAACACTTATTCCACCGCTGTTTTCAAATATTTAATATTGTACCAAACCAGCAATTTAAGGACTCGTGATAAAGCAAATACGTTTGGATTAAAGCACTGTTGTCAGTTGTGATTTCACTCTTCAGGAACCTCTGTATGAAGAATATCCTTCTTCGAAGATACTGTAATTCTCATTTTATCCAGCTAGTTTTAAACATGTTTTATGAGCTAAAAAAGGTTGAAGTCTTTGTTTATGAAGCAAAAACATGAAAACCCCCACACATGGACAGAGCCTAAAACATTTTCATGGGATGTTACAGTAAGTGGCTCACAGTTAGCAGAGGACAGGCTGTTGCGGTGCATGTGGAAGTGCTGGTCTGCCTCGGGCTCCTCTGGCTCTGCAGGGTAGTTGGAGCTGACCCCAGAGTCCACAGAGCTGGTCACAGGGGACAGGACTGGGCCTGGAGATGTCAGGACTGGGCTTGGAAGCCCTGCTGCAATAACATCACTGACTTTAGGTGAGAGGAGCAGAGGCTCGGGTTCTTCTTCTATGGCTTCCTGCTCATGCTTCTTCTTCCGCTCCACCTGCCGCCTCAGCTTCTCTCTCTGCCGCTTGATGGCTGTCACCCTGTCCCGTATGGCCTTGGCCACAGGCTTGAAATCTGCCTCACACACAAAGCCAAGCACAACCTGCATAACAACACAGAAATGGACAACATGTGTAAGTGCACATACACTGTGTGCTCCTGCAATATGTAGGCAATTACGCAGCTCTGTTGCAGTTAACGACCTGACGACGCATGGCGTGACATCAATAGGTCCTCTGATGCAACAAAGGCATTTGTTTTTAAACCAACCCACGTGGACTGTTCTGTCAGTCTGCCATTCTGTGCAGCCTCTTGTGACCCAGTCCAGTAGTGGGACACCAGGTCTGACCTTGTCTCTCAACACATGGTCAGATTGCAGCAGATCGGTGGGACTAGATGTCCCCTGTTGATACCAAATTTGATTTTGATGAAAACCGCCAGGAAGAGGTAAACAGGTATGGAATTGTGGCTTGCATTTTCATTAAATGTGACCTCTACGAAGGTGGTGGGGGACATAAGGGCCTGTTTGGGAACAAGCAAGAGAGCCATTATGTTATTAAAGCCGTGACCTCGGCTGCTTCCTGAGACACACATTTGGAATCACTGAAGATTAAATGTTGAGCTGTGCCCTTGACACACTCAGCAATACATTCTCTTTAGGGTCTGGGCCACGTTTCTGTGTTTCTGCTGTCATAACAGAATCATAAAAGAAGCGGATTGCATTAGCAAAACTGCTTCACTGCTTGGGGTCAAGCATCAAAAGACAAGATAACTCGAGGAGAAATTTTTATTTCACTAATAATGTCAGACTGGTATGATATTAGCTCGTACATCTTAAAGTTCCTATTAAATCTACAATATCCATGGATTTATTAACACCGCCTACCACTTGTGTAAACTGTGGTTGAATATTTGCGCAGGTGCATAAAATAAAACACATTAGTCCACTATAGGCTGTTATCCTTTCAATCTTCCACTAGAAAACCTATAAAAAGTAAACATTATAAGTCAAGACCAGGATGTGGAGAACATGTGGGGATTGGCTGAAGATGCCTCTATCTGTTGATCTGGAATCAATTATTCAATTTCCTCCCTAATGGCCACTAGATCTGGATCAGTAGAGCAGTAAACCTCACAACACTGTGTTTTGCCTACCGTCTCCTGAGCCACCTCCTCGGGCACATCTTTGTAGAGCTCAAACAGGAACTCAATGGCATTGTTGTCCTTGTACTTCCCGTGGAGCTTCTTGGTGTCGTCCATGCGCAGCCATAGCTTCAAGCCAGACTTCACCATGTCATCCTCCTCTGCCAGCTCCACGTGCACACCATTGTTCTCCTGGAAGAAGGGGTGGTCCAGGAGGTCCTGTATGGTGTACCTGCAGCAAAAGAAGGGAATCAGACAGGTTCACAAGTTTTCAACCCTGAATTTATTTTACAATTTGGTTTTCTATCATTTAAAACTGTCTAGCTCAGCTTCACAGATGGCTTCAGGGTTGATTTGTCTTTTGTTTTCAACAGCCATTCAGCCCACTGTGGGGATCACAGTGTGGGGCTACAAGAGTAAAATTACGATAAGAACAGGAAGTATAAAGAGAGGTACAAAATATGCTTTGTGTCAGGCTTCAGGGACCTTAATTCTCTTACATGTATGTGTGAAACAGTCTAAAAGAAAGTTGGTATGTCCTGAGAGAAAGCAGGGACTGTGACCCATTTGTCATAATAAAGAGGCATATCTAACTTAGTGCAAAATTACAGGTTTTGCAAATGGTGCTTAGCTGTTAGTGAAGATGTGCATCCGCTGCAAATGATCGCAGCATTTTAATAAAGTTTAGAGGGAAACAGAACCCATCCTCAGCAGGTGAACAGCAAGTCACACAGTATTTTGTACTTGTTTCCTCACATTAACAAACAAAACCCTATAAAAACTGACTTTTTAAATTAGATGTTCATGCTGAAAAAATGGGTTTACCTGCACAGAGCCAGGTTTATACACAAGAATCTACAAAGATAGCGGACTTCATAAAAATCAAAATATATATGAATATTGTTGACAGCATATGTTTTCACTTGTACCTTTCATCCTTGTTCATTCGAATGCAGCCCCCAATGATCTCCTTCAGTTCTGGGACTTTGACTTTGCAGAAGCTGGCAGGTTTAATTCCCTGTAAGAACAATTAAAAGCGAATTTAAACTTCATGAGTAGTTCTGCATTGAGCATTAACAAGTACCAGACAAACTGGGTTTTCCATTTCAGGGTAGACTGGTTATTTTAGTGACCAGCAACAGTGATCTCCTCCTGTGCACTGATCCTACACAAACCATGATATGGTATGGCATTCTGCTCTGCAAACATGTCAGTACCAGAGGGGAACGATACCAAGAGCTCAGGAAACAGAAAAAACAACCACAAGATGCTCTCCCTCCTCTGTCATGGGATTTTAAAAACTGATAGGAGCTGCAGCTTCAGCTTACAAAAAGTCTTCAGGGAGGACTACTCACTGACATGAAACAAGGGAGTTGCTCTCAAAGCTATCATGAGAATGTACATAGATTACAGCAGCGCCCCCACCCCAGTTAAAACACAGATAGGAAAGCAAAGCATCAAAGTCAAAAAGACGCTCAGCCTGCAGATGCCCAGGAAACCAGTTGATGTTCGGTCGAAACACATCACACAGTAACTGCTCTGATTACTGTTGTATCGCTGCTTCAGTCCAGCCACAAAAATGCTGTTATCTAAAATGGGAAATGTAATTTGGAGGATCAGTGGTTTCTATGTTTATGCAGTTTGCTTCGGTGTCTTTGCCTGCACCTTCAAAATAAATCAATTTTCCCTCAATTTGTGGGTGGCTATTCACTTTTCCTCTGGTGACACACATTAAAACACATGTTGGTGTCTTTGTTTGAAATATTACATTTCAACTTTATAAACAACACTTATTTTAATAATCTATTCATTTAGGAAGAATTCAAAATTATTATTTTGCACAAACAAAAGAATAAAGCTGTTACTTTAATGCTTGGCCATTAAAGATGATAGCACATTTGAAAATGCATTTTCCCACAGTGAGTAGACATTTATTTATTCAAACTATTTTTTGATGTAAACTTAAAACATCTGTAATTGGTTGTTGACTCCCAGATGGAAAATATTTCAAAGAATTTGCCAAGGCGCCCTCATAAAAGAGGTTCTAGATCTCAAAGGACTTTTCCCTGGATAAATAAATGTTATGCATGCTTTTCATGTGTCAAACTATATTTCTTACTCTAGGGCCCTTAAATGACAAGTGACTTCAAGTACACGTCAGCAAAAACGGGAAAAGTTAAATAAAATTTAAAGGATGTTGGTTAAAAACTACCAATAAACTGGTATGTGTTGTTTGTACGCCACATAAAAGTAAAACATAAACAAGTCATAAAAAGCTGCCTGAGTAAGCTTCTCTGACTGCACATGATCATTGTTATGTCGTCCTGTTTGACCCTTTCTGGCTTGTTGGTCTGGCAGGTTTCTCACTTTCCACCGTCAGTCACTGTTTACCTCGCCTATGCAACATGTTAGAAAGAAACAGCCCTCTTTGTGGAGTAAAGAGTGAGACACATTTTCTAAAACATACAATTCTACCGTCGTCAGCTTTTGCCCAATGTGGCACCATCGTTGTGCTTGGCACTGGGGAACAACTTGAAATACAGCAGCCCAAAGCCACTGCTGTAACGCTACACTCTGAAAACTCACCACACTTCTTCTGGACCTTTTTTCTCAGAAGTCTGACATTTTTTCCTGTATAAAAGCTTCTGATATGACCTGAATCCAACATTAATTTATGTAGTGAAAGTGGGCTCTGGGCCGGGATTCAAGCTCTCCTCTGCATTAGACAGATATCTTCAAAAAAAGTTTCATCTTCTAATGCATCTGTGGTTTAATAAAATATTATTTTCTGCAAGGCTCAACAAGCTGCTCAGACAGAATCCTTTCAAACAGTGGTGTCTATACTGTAGGTCTCTTCAGTTTTCCATACAAATATTGTCATAGAGAAGGAAATTTTCCTGTGACTATGATGATCTTAGATCTTTGAACTAGTAAAGACCGGTGAGTCAATCATGTGCAATCCCGTGTCATAACTGTGAGCTGAAAAGTCAGGTTACGGTATGAGTTTGTAATGGATACAACTGAGCCTTTAATGAGCAAAGCAAGGCTTTCGTTCCATGTAGGCTCCTTCTTTCCAAGTATTTAGGATATCCAGATGTATACATAACATATCCCGGCTCCTCTCAGTCTAATTCCAGTGTGCACATGGAGGAAAGTGAACATATGTGGGCAATTACATTAATCTGAGGTTAAAAAACAAACCGATCCTTCTCTCCTTACACTGGTGACTTTGCGGTAGATCTGGGCGGCGTTTTGGCACTCGGAGTACGGGTACTCAGAGGTGGCCATCTCCAGGATGCACATTCCAAAGGCATAGACGTCCACCGCCTCGTCATACTTCTCCTCGTACATCTCTGGGGCCATGAACTCTGGTGTTCCTGTCACAAGTAAAGGTCAACAGGCATTTCACTATTATTACTCAATCAGTGAAGGACAATTAAAAACTCCCATTTCAGTGCAGTTCGGTTAAATCTTTGCTGGATCCGCTGATTACTCAACAAGAATCAACAAGTCCTTTTTATTGCCTCTGCTGACTGGCACTGTATTTGATGGGAAGGGCATATTCTTTCTGAAATTAAAAGACATTCGAGTAATGATGCTACATTTAAAAATGCATCAGGCATCAACACTCAAGTAAGAGTTTAAACAGACACCCTGCTTTGGAAATGAGGAAATGATATAAACCGGAGAAACTGAAAGATGCATAAAAAAAACCTTTATGAAATCAAATCCTTAGAGGCTTCAGGCCACAGTTCAAGACTAGTGGCATTTTGCATGATTTGGCCCATTTCCAGTGAAGCTATAGATAGCCGTAAACGGTTGGAATTATGCATATTTTTGTTGGAGACACTATATCTTTCAGACAGCAGTGTAAAGAGATATTTGTGTAGATTATCTGAGCTGGGTAAACACTCACACACAAACCAAATTTACACTTACCAATAACACTTTTAGCAAAAGAGGCACTTTTGAGAGTGGCTAGCCCCAGATCTCCTATTTTCACTGAGCCGGTGGGGCCGGTGATGAAGATATTGTCACACTTGAGGTCTCGGTGGATGATGGGAGGGGTGCGCGTGTGCAGGAAGTGAAGCCCTTTGAGGATCTGCTGACTCCAGCGCTGCAGCAGCTTCAGCTTCATCTCCTTGAACCTCTTCAAGTATCTAAAACGAAGGAGGAAAAGACTCAATATCCCAGTGTAAACATATCAAAACACAGCAAGAGGAGGAGGACTTTAAATGCCACAAAATAATCCATCTTTTATTTTGACAGCCCAGAAGAAGTCTTAAAGTGAGATCGTTTCCTCTGAGAACATGTGAGAACACAAGAAGAGCTTTCCTCTGGTCCTTATTCTGCATCTTTTACAGTATATTTAAAAGCAAAAGACAAGTGTTTGGTTTGCTCTGGAAGACATCGTGAGTTTCATTTGGAAAGAGGATATCCATCATTTGATCGTTGAAGTGTGACACCTTTTTTATAAAAGCAGTGAGCATACAAAGAAACAGTTTTTACATGTGGAGATTTTGATCCTTTAAAAAAACAAAAAGGACTAGGAGTTTAGAGGTGGCACTGGATTCAGAGACTCACGTTTTGAGTGTGCCTGACGTCATGAGTTCAGTCACCAGGATGATGCACTTGTGGCCCTTCACCGTCGACTTCCATGAGTCGTGGAAGCGGACGATGTTGGGATGCTGCAGAACCTTCAGCATATCCACTTCCTCGCTGAAACGTTGTCGCTCCACCTTGGTCAGCTTACGGGTCTGCAGGAGAAAGACGTGGTTTGAGTACATTTACATGCACAGTAGTACTCCCCTTCTGAGGTTGGCTGCTTTAGATTATATTTGAGATATGACATTTACAGGAGAAACTGGGTTTTTCAGCAATGCATGATTCAATAATATGGTATCCAGGTGTTTGTCTGTGTACAGGTGCACATCTCAACCACTCTATGATTCTGTACCGACTGAGTCAGATCAACCCTAATAAAACCATTTTGGTCTGTGCCTGTCTGAAGACATTACTGTGCCCTGGGGGAAATGAACGAGCCTGACAATCAAACTGGTTTCCTTCTTTGTTTCACCTTGTCCATTAAGCCAGGCAATGTCATTGTGTCAGCAAATCTCTTCTTGAGAGGCAGTTTCGCCCTAAAAAGTCAGTAGCACCTCATCAGGATGGAAATTCACAATACTGCTGCATGTACTGCTCTGACAGCTTTATTACCTATAGTAAAAGCAGAAAGTATCTGACTTTCACTTTTATTTCAGTGTGTAGATCACTGTTCACATCTCAAGCTAAGGATTCCTCTGCAGAGAGCGATCAGAAACCTGATTAAGGTGTTTACATATCACAGTAAATTCATACCAACTTCCCCGGAAAAGCGTCCAAACAGACCTGGAGATGAGGAGGTTTCTCTGCCAAGGTAAGGCTGACAACTCTCCATAGCCAGTGTGGATGAGAAATCCATAAAGAACTCAGAGAAAATGGAATGTGAAGGTAAACTGCTTCTACTTGAATCATGCAATATGACTGAAAGCCCCACACATGGACAAAATGGATCTTTAAGTGAACCATATAAATGCAGCTGTCTTGACAGTTTTGTCTTGTCAGGGTTATGTGTGGTTACATAAGTAGGCGGCAAAAACACAGCATACAATATGTGGGACCGATTTGATAAATTGCAGTTTGTTTACCTAATGAGCTCACTGTGGGACTGGAAACCACAGGTTCATCCATCTGAGTGACATGCTGGTTACATAATCCCATTTATTGTCCAATAGGAATTTACAAATGTAAGGCGGAGATTTCTGAAATCCATGTAAAAAAAACTGAGCCAAACACTGCAATCATGCTGGATGAACAAAGCCATTTTTGTGCTTCCTGCAGGATGAATGGCCTGATTTAGCTGCTGCTGGAGTAACTCTGTCTGTGGTGGGTGGTTAGTGGAAAACTCCTGGGAGACTTCACGACCATGAATCCTGCATTGAGGCAGATTTCTGGGAAAAATGCTCTGCATATGTTTATGCTCACAAGCAGCTCGACCACTTCTCTCTCTCTCCTTCCGCTCTGCTCTCAGTGAAGAGGTGCTGCTACAGCTAGTGCTGCTGCATCAACACCAGAGGCAGACTGTCTGAAGTCATACAATAAAAGACCCCTTTTAGCTGCGTCACTCACCTGTCAAACCATCATTTTATGCCAGCAATCCAAACATGAGGCCCTGAGCTCAAAAGCAAGACCCAGAAGCAACTTCTGACCAAATGGATTGCACGAGGTCGATAGTAATCAGCCTGTGAACACAAGCTGCAGCTTATTCCTCATATGTAGAACCTCAGTCAGAAATGCTAGATGGTTGCATAAAAGGAAAACATCTTGAGCCAAGAGTAATAGTCATGTCATCAGGGCAGTTAGATCATACAAATGTACAAGCATCTTCTGAGTAAGTCACTTCAGCTTTAATCTAATTTGTGCTTTATGGCCCAAATAACAGACATTAGCGCTGAGGTTTCCTGCTGCAGTAGAACACATGACAAAAATCATGGCAGGAATGTGTGTGTGCACTAGCCAGATTAAGTGAGTCACTGGGTTTATGGGTTGATGTGCATCTGGATATTTATGTATCTAAGCATGCTAACATCAGACCCCTTTGTAACAAGCTTTGTCTTCTGCTCAAAGAAAAGATGGCTGCTTGCAGCACAGCGTCAGCATAACATGCTTTGGCTGTGGCATCCAGCCGAGCCGCTTGGAGGGCCTGACACCTCCAAAACCACAGGATTTACCACAGCTTGGCCTGCTGGCTGGAATGGTTGAAAAACACTCAAATGCAAAATTTGAGTTCTTGGAAGAACCAAAACCCTGCTGTGGCAACGCTGCACAGCACTTTTCATGCTGTACAATGTGAGGTGTTGAACAAAGAGGAGCTGATTATTTAATGTGACTCATCAAAAGCTGTTCTCTCATTTAAAACACCAAAGTCTAAAATGTTGTGGGAAATTAAGTACAGAAAGAACAAAAGCACAAGTATGAACTGTGTCAACACTGCAGTGCTCTCATCTGACTGCACTGATGTTGGTGTTGGGTCATTTCAAGGTAACATGACAATACCTCCACCCAGTAAACACATGCACTGTATTCTGTGCCATGGCAGAAATGAAAACCAGTAACGGTTCCGTTAAACACGGACTGTTTTCGCATCATAAAAGCCACCAGTTAAACAGGCATAAATCTATTGAGCATGATTGTTTCTTTCATTATTTACAGGTAACTACAGTGCGTTTGATATCTGTCTGAGGAGGGAATCCTCTGTTGACAGCTGTGTAACGCTTCTATCAAGCTTTTCCATGGGATATTTGACTGCATCTATCCGTTTCCACCTCTCTGTTCCACCTCCGCTCATTCAAAAACGGGGCCAAAAAACATTGCGTAACACTGGAGAAAGCAATGCAGGGGGGGAACCACAAAAACAAACCATCTCTGTTTTGAAAAGACAAGTGGAAATGTGCAGAGAACAGAAGAGTCTAAATTCAGAGATGTGTGAATAAGCCTTGGCTAAAAGTTGACTTGTGTCTTTGTGTGTTAAGGGTGAGAAGCGATACAGTTGTCCAGATCCAAGTCTTGAACACTTGGATCTGCTCTTAGAGTGATGTCAAACATAGTGCTGAAACGGTTAGTGGATTAGGCGGTTGACAGAAAATTGGCTATTGACAAGGGATAAGGTTGGTGGTGTTATATATTTTTTCTCACTGTCAACAAATTGCACGAAAAGATCAAGACCAGCACTGGATTTATTTGTCTCTGAACGCTTTCCAAAATTTCTCGTCTGTGGCACTCAGCCCAAAAACCATTCATCTCCACTGAAGACAGGACACAAATGTGTAGTTATATTTTTAAAAACAAAATTAAAAAACGCTTGTCACTATAGTTTTTTTTAACAAACACGATGTAAACAGGAGCAAGTAGTACATTAGAGACTGAACAAATTTGGTTCTCTAGAACTTAGGGTATGCCAAGTACTGATGCAAGTACTTAATAAAAATGCAATGTTTCTACTATAAAAATCATAATTAGCATAAAAGTGCAGTGATTTTAGGAAGTTTTTATTTTCATGAGATTGACTTTCTGATTGTGATTAAATAAAATATCTAACTTGAGGCTGTAAATGACCATAAAATGTTTTATCAAGCGTTAACATCTGTGTAAAATGCGGCTTTGTGTCTGTGAGACGGGGGGAGGGTGCTCATATAGACACAGCAGAGCCGAGAATCACTGTGCACAGTCGGCTTTACTTTTAGACATCATCACTTATCCTAAAATAATGGCTGAAAGTTCCTCCCCACTGCCTAATGACCTGCTCATCCGGTTGTGAGGTTAGCGTAATGTGTTACAGGATACTGTACGTGGGACTTAATCAAACTAAACAGCAGTTGTCACAGTTGTTGTAATGAAGGAATATGTCACATGAGTGCCACAGTTTGACATGAGCTTTAGGGCACTTTGCCTACACAGGCAGTACTTCTGTTAGGATCAATTCAGTGCTGGTTTAGATTCTTCCATTTTCACGGATTTGTTGACAATAAGGAAAATATAGACTATTGCATGTCTTCTCCTTTAAGTCAAGAAAAAGTGAGATTCACTAGTTCCAGTTTTGAAAATATGAGTGTTATATCATTAAACTGAACTATCGGTTTTGCACTTCTGGTAAGACAGAGTATGGGATCAAGGCAGGCAGAGACTTTGTTCATATTATGTTAAGGGAAAGTCAGGACTTTTTTTTTTTTTTTAAATAATTCCAGAAATGATCTAATTCTTCTGGCCTACGTTCCAATTAGACCTGACCTCAGTTTGAACCCTTTTAGGGGTTTAAAGGTAAACCTTCGCTCTTCTTCCTGTCATTAACAGGCCATAACTCCTGTGTTCCAGACACTGCTCGAGAGGAGCCCCGCTGATAAACACCAGAGTTCATGGAGTCACTCTGATGACAAAGTATGCAGGCGAGAATCTGCTTCAACATTACTGAACCACTGTCCATCAGAGGCTGTGACGAGTTGTCAGGCTCTGGAAATAGAGGTCAAAGGCAATCTGACCTTACACCTCTAAGACTGACGTACACAAGGTATAAACACGCACGTAGGCACTCACAAGAGTACAGTGCTGCATTTAGATGCTAGCTGGTCAGAACTGAGGTGGCAGTGTGCGCTTTCCAAGGCAAACCTGACCTGCTGGGTAAATGGAGCGGGCAGCGAGAGGTTAGCCATTAATCTCATAAGGACTGTGGACTCAAACCAGCATCTGACGCCTGCTCTTGCTCTGAGAACCTGACAGACTTACTGTAGATCTGGGATTACACCTAATGCATGTCAACAGAGCAAAGTTGGCCGTCAGACAGGTTTTTGTCTACCTCGCATAGATACTTTTGTTAGACATGAGTTCATAGTTTTTTAATCATACACACATAATGCTAACAAATAATCCTGATATAGATGCATTAGATTTGTTTCTTTGTTTGTTTTTGCAATTATAACCAGAACACCTTTTACAGTTGAAAAATTAGCTTCTCTCTTTGTGGACAAACTATGCAAGGGTGACGCCGCTTCTAAATCACCTCAAACCTACTTTGGCATATTTGTACTGCCATTTCTCATTAATCATTGGCCAGCACACACTCAGACACTGAGATCTCTGCACTAGGCTAATTTCGGCATAGTCAATTTATTGGTCTGGCTCTGCACAAGTACTAGACTGGTTTCTGAACTGTACAGAATGAGCT